TCAGGTGCTCCACATTTAAAACAAAACTTTTTCTTTATTCCTGATTTACAAGCTTTATGCGTATGATTAGCTAAATTGCATCTCCAGCAAACAACAGGACTATTTTCCATTCGAGGATTTCTATTAGTATCAACTGATGAAGAAGATGGGACAGAAACATTACTTGACCTAGAAGTATTATTGTTAGAAGTATTATTGTTAGAAGTATTATTGTTAGAAGTATTATTGTTAGAAGTATTATTGTTAGAAGTATTATTGTTAGAAGTATTATTGTTAGAAGTGGCATTTCTAAATTTGTTTTTCTGAAACCTATTTCCAGAACTTTTATTTGAATGGGCAGATGTTCTATTTGCTTGTGCATTTGAAACAAAAGCAATTTCAGGGTCATCTAACATAGCAATTGATTTACTTTGAGAAGTAGAAGGTGGACTTAAAGCATCAGCTTCCTCTAATTTTTTGCACAAAGTTCCAAGAACTGTAACTGAATCTATGTCACATAAGGCTAACCTCCGCCTATAATCAGGCTTTAAACCCATCTTGATGTACTTTACCTTTGTCACCTCAGCAGCTCCATGACTGAGTCTGTTAAAAAGTGCTTCCATACAAGCTATAAAGATAACAACTGGCTCTGAATTACCCTGCTTTCTATTTTTTATTTGTTGCCAAACTTCATCTTCAAAATCAGACACTAGAAAATCTTTTCTGAGTTTCAAAATCAATGAATCCCAGTCAGTAACTTGTGACTTTACCATACGGTACCAGAAAGTAGCTTTACCAGTGAAAAGATCACTTGCTGATTCAAATAATTCCATTTTAGATATATGCCTTGCTTGAGCAAGTTCATCAATACGTTCCATGAATGATAAGAGATTTTTGGAGTCACCATCAAATTGGAGTCCTAACTTATACACAGGTGTTGACTTTGTTAAATTTGGTGAAAAAAAATTCTGACTTTGACTAGTAGATGGTCTCACTAGTGGATTGACAGTAGAACTCATCAATGGCACATTAACTGGATCAGACTCTGGATCAGATACCTTCTCATGTAATTCTGCATCTAATTGCAATGCTGTTGCATAAGATTCATTTTTAAAAATTGACATTTCATCAAAATTAAGAGCTTCTGGATTCAAAGGTATTCTTTGAATTCTCCAAGTTACATGGCATATTCTAGATTCTGCTCTCTTAAAAGTAGAATCTGATGTTGGTCCCTCGAAATCACTGATTAAAGTTTGTATAGATGTTAAAGTGTTTTCAATGTCAACTTTTTCAGATGCAAAATTAAATGTTGGGTCAACAAAAGACAATATATTGTGTCCTTGTTGAATTTCCTTAGCCAAGAGGCGCCTCAAAATTTTTCTCTTTTCATCCATGCTACGTTCAGAAATAACACCTCTAATTTTCAGTTCATAATTAAGTTCTGCTATGAGCAAATGTTTTGCCTTAATAGAATCCATAATGAATAGTGTGAAGTAAGAACAAAGAAAACAGATGAAATACCCAAGTACTGCAGTCACAAAAATTTTCTAAAAATTCCCATGAAAAATATCTGTCAAAATAGTTACCAGAAATTATCAATCATGATGGAAATTTTCATTACTATTTAAATTTGCAATCACTGCTCCAAAATATGTACTTTATTACAACACAATTAGACAACACTCACCGCAGTGCTCTCCAGCACAACAAATACTAAAGCCTTTTCTGTTGAAAAACTTTCCTGTCAGGCTTCTGTCAAAAACGGAGCTATACTTCACATCCACATCCACATGGACCTAAATGTACAGTCTCCACTCAACCAAACATACCAGCTCAACAATCTAACAAAATTTGAAAAAACTCAAGAAAAATTTGAAAAAGGTTTTACAACAAACAGACAAAATTTTACTTATTTTGAACAAGAATTTTCGGGCCCTACACGTTGGACGCTATTTATGTGGCCAACTTTTAATATAAAAGGATGAATTTATTAAAAAGTCAAACACATTTGCTATCGGCAGCTGTACATCGGAGAACAGATAAGTGAGTTCGAATTATAGGCTAGATGGTGAAGAAAATTCAAGTTCTTGGACGCCACTCAATTTATAAAAATCCTACAATTTGGATAATTGAGAAAACCAAATTTCTTTCCAAATAATCTGTTTTTCAAAAATCTGAAGGTTGTTCAAGGTATATTTTCTAAGAAGGCTGGGCTGGACATATGGAAGAATGAAAACCAACATAAAATTCAAGACCTATTATATTTCACACCACCAGAGACAAGGTTATATATGGACCTATGTAGAGGCATGCAGTTTCATGATGAAAAATAATCACTAAAGTACTGTATTATTTCAATAGTGTAGGTCAAGTAAATTGCATGGTGGTTCTATCATAATTTTCCTACCTATACCAGGACAATTACCATATTTTTAGAATAAGTGAAAATAAGTATAGTAACAATCCTATATCAACTATAAAACGGACTGTATAACTAGTCAAGGAATGATAGCGCAATGAACTGTTAAGCAACCGCAGTCACATAGTATACTATGGGAGAGCTTCACAAGAGCTTCACCAGTTTGTGAATTAATACTGTAAAAAATGTGATTACTCAACCAGTCTCAGATGTGAAAAAATGTAGATAATTATATAGCAAAATGTGAAACACTGAAGGTGGAACAAAAAAACCTGATAGTGGTCCAAGGGTCCTCTGCAATGGTCCAGATCACCCCTATCCAAGGTCCCAAGTGGTATGATTGTAGATGTGCAGCAAAGGTCACTGCAGGTGAAGACAACACAAACGAGGAATGCTGAACCTCCACGGTCAGCAGAGTTCCAGGATGCAGTGTAACCAGGGATCAGTCTCTACCAGCTGCTACTGGGCTCCATCTGGTGTCTCCATGGTCGACTCTGGCCAAGATCCGAAGACCTTGCAGGATTACTCAGATCCACTGGGGGATCTTGACTAGGGTAGAGTAGAGTATCCTGAGGGCCGGTCGCTACCAGGAGTCCGAAGCACAGCTAAGCTGCACCCTAGCACCCTAAAAAATAATCTGAATATAGCCTCCTGAGAGGGCACACAGAGCACGTGGAGACAACAGAAAAAAAACTGAAGAACAGCATATTATATTTTCGTTTCACTGCTGAATCTGCTATGGCTGTGACTTACCTTCTGAGAAGGGAGGTAGGATTGAAGAGTTATTAGAACTTGCTTCAAAGGACTGAAACAGAAACAGGCCGGGCTGCATGGCTTCTAAGACTTCATGGCAGTCTCCAGGAACAAATCCCACTAATGGCTTCCTGACGGAGATTCCATCCACTAACCGGTAAGCAACGGCTTCCAAAATCAAATACCCCTAAGGGTTTCTACGGTTTTCACCGAGAAAATCCAAATCCTTTTCACAGGTCAAGTGCACGCCACCATGGCTAACCGAGAAAAAGTGAGGTAGGTACGTGCCGGAAATTCTCCTACCCTCGATTTAACTAGTCAAAAACCCTAGTTTTCTGTTAAAATCCCAAATCAGCGCCAAATATGAAATCCAAGAATCCTATTGGTCGAAGAAATGCTTACGCCCTAATTATTAAGAAGAATTGTTCTTCTTCTTCTGTCTTCATAGGAATAATCTCCAAATCCTTCACAGAAGACAAATGACAGTCCACAATAACTGCAGTATGACAACAGTGACAGTGACGTCCTGATGACACATGAAAATATAACCTGAAATATTATCCCAAAAATAAACAAAGAAATTTATCCAAATTGAAACCAATTCAGAATGAACAACATCATAAATCCTGAGATATTCCAGCGAAATAGGATTTATCGCCCTGGAGAACATCAACGGTAAGTTGTCTGTCTACTTTTGAATGGATTACAATATTAAATATTTTCTTCGATTCTAGGGCCTTAGGATCAGAACGCCAGAAATCAAAGACTCCTGCAGCTTACATCATCACTTCCTATTAGCACATAGAATATCAGAAGAAATGAGTACTCTACTATTGGAATTTGTTTGTTAAAAGATCTCATTCAAAACTGTGTGTGATATGATATGGTTGTATCATTAAATGTTCTACTATATACTCAAGGATTATTTACTATGTCAGACTGAATGTTCACTGTGAGTATGGTTTCTTCTCAAATTCATAAGGTAAGAATTTGAAAACTATGTTTATTACACCAAAGAAAAATAAAAACAAATCTTAGCACACCACAGTGCTACTCTACTGTAATTTGATAAGTTTCATCAAAATAATTAGCTAATATTATCTTGTAGCAAATTCAAATGCTACAACTTTACGGCCGGTTCGATAAAGGTCGTCAGAAAGTAACTTCACAAAAAGTGAACTTTATCAAAAATTCAATGGTATCGCCAAAAAGTCTGATGAGTTCCACGAAGTGGAAGCAAACTTCCTTTACCTAAATATTCGTTTATCTATTATTCGTCATATATTATCGACGGCACTAAATTTGGTTTGAATGAACTATTTTCACACATCTGACGTTGTCAATTGAATTCGTCACATTGAGTTCCAATTATAAACTGCATCATAATAATGAGCACAGAAACGCAATCGAAACCAAAAAGGAAAAAAGCACGCCATTCACTAAAGAAGACGAAATTCGCATGCTGAACGCAATTTATGCCGGGCGTGATACTATTGAAAATCAAGGAACCAATAAATATAGCATTCAGAAAAAAGTAAGTTAACACCACGATGGAGGGAAGATGGTGTAATCACAGTTAGTGTTTTGTTTCAACCAAATCGCTTTACGTAAGAGTTACTAGTTTTCCTGAAGGGGGCGTCAGCTCCAAGGTTTTACGTGGTTCTGCCAACCTTGCGTTGGCAGAACAGCTGTTTTTGATTTCCATAAGCTATTCGTGCCATTCGTGAATTTATATTTTTCGAGTGATTTTTCAAGTTTTTCCTGGTGTTCCGGTGATCAGATTCAAAACTGGGCCAAAAGGCAAATCAACGTGCAACCTAGTGGTGGAGGTATCTCCACAACAAAAAAGATGAGTGGGAAAAAATTATACATTGGCTTCACCAGTGTAAACACGAAGGACTATATAGTAGTCCCTAAATGCATGAAATGCCAAGATCTCGGTCATATTGGCAAAAACTGCTCAAAAACAGAAAATGTATGTAGCCACTGCGGAGACAGTGGACATGAAAAGAAGGAATGTCCGAAAAAGCAGGACCCGAGTACTTGCATGCCATGCAAGAATAGGGGGAAATTCTGCAAAAACGGGTCAGACTGCCAGACGCACAAGATGCTGCTGGACAGGATGATCCAAAAGACCGACTATGGCCAGTAATCTCCCTTCGGAGATGATGGCCATATAAGTAGATGAAGGAGGAACAACTAGTGAGAAAACCCCATCCAAAGGCTTGAGGGACAGACTCAGAATGCTATCTTTCAAAAGAAAGAAAAAAGAGAGCGAACCCAAAAAAATCGAGGAGCCAATAACAAATATAAAAACCATTTATGACAACATGGAAGTAAATATGCAACTTTCCAGACTGAAAGAGGCAAAGGTCCTCACAACTGCCCTGAGGCACTATGTGAGGAATAAGCATATCAAAGGAGACAAAATCACCTTCCCGGTTCCGGGAGCGGTGGATCGAATTCAGCTGAAATGTCATAACATTCCTACAGATATCACCGAACTGGAAAGACTCCTTAAACAGGTCTTTGACAGAAGAAACGAGGTCCTTGACCTGGAGGAACTATACAGAGACTTTGCTCTAACCCTTTTGATCATACAAAGCCCTGGCCAGAGTGCCACATACACCTAAGATCTCCGTAGCGATCCGAATCGGACAGATCAACTGCATGCGCAGTGCAGCAGTTGGTCAAGGAAGGTTGCGGAAGAAATGAGGGTGGATATGCTATGTATACAAGAACCCTACACAAAGAGAGGGAGAATGATCAACATGCCAATAACAGCACAGATACAAAGCATAGGGTAAAATCCAATGGCAGCAACTGTATTGTTCAACAAGAATCATAGACTGTTTCTTCTGAAACAGTTCAGTGACGAGCACTGCGTCTGTACAGAATTGCAAACAAATATCGAAAAATTCAACGTACAGAAACATCCCTCTGATAATAACAGCGGATGCTAATGCGAAATCAGTGTTGTGGCACTCCGGAACAACAGACGCCAAAGGCGAAGAATTAGAAAACCTAATAAACGAGCTTCAACTCGAAGTCCATAACAAGGTAGGCAATCCATCGACCTTCCAGAACAGGGCTGGTGCAGCGTCCAACATAGATATCACGATATCAAATGTTAAGGCAGCAAACCAGATAGTGGAATGGAGGGTCGGGGATAACCCAACAGTGAGTGACCACAATCTGATAAGTTTTGGCATCCGAAAGGAAGAGGCAAATGATATGGGACCGATGGTAAAACGATCTGACATGAGTAGGGCGAACTGGGAAACTCTGGCAGCGGAATTCGAGCCGCCGGGACTGGAAGGAGAGGAAAAAGATGTGCATGAATATGCAAGGATCATAACCCATGAAATCAAGAGAGTGATGGATCTTGCCATCCCCCAAATTTACTCTGCTAAATACCCAAGATATGATGCTTGGAGTATAGTGCTCAGAAGGCAAAGAACCCTAGTCAGAAATGCGAGAAGAAGATACCAAAGATGGGGAGTACACGAAGAACGCCAAAGACTCCTACAAACATACAGAGAATTAAGGACAAACTACCTCGCACACATAAAAGAAGTAAAAGCGAAGAGCTAGGAAAAGTTTATAAAAACCCACCTGGAAACGGACATATGGGGAATGCCTTACAAGATCGTAACAAAAAAGGTCAGATGTCCTACCATGCTCTCCTCTCTCGAAAGAGAAGACGGGTCGATGACCAGGACATGGGAGGAATCGGCCGAGCTCCTGATGAACACACTATTACCCTCAGATGAGCACGAGGGAGAAACTGTAGAACAACTAGAAACAAGAAGGGCAATGGTATAACCATACCATGAGCCACCAGGGATGATCTTGAATCCATTCACTGAAGATGAAATATCAGAATGCTTGAATAAAATGAAGAAGAAGAAGGCTCCAGGGCCTGATAGCATACCAGTGGAAGTGCTAATGGCACTAAGGCAGAAACTAATCCCAGCTCTGTGCAAATTATACAACGAATGTTTGAGACAGGGCAAAATACCAAAAATTTTTGAACAAGCAGATGTAATTATACCAAGCAAAGGGGAAGACAAAGATCCAACAAGACCAAAATCATGGAGACCGATATGCTTATTGAACTCGATGGGTAAGCTACAAGAGAAGATACTATGTAAAAGACTTGGTGAGCATAGAGAGAGACAATTGGAGTCCACCCAGACCAATACGGCTATAGGCCAGGAAAATCGACAGAAGATGCGATAAACAAGGCCATAGCAACGATTGACAGTAGCGACAAAAAATACGTGATAGCAATTTATATAGACATATCAGGAGCTTCTGATAATCTCTGGTGGCCCAGATTCTTCGGAAACGAGAAATGCGATGCCCGGAAAAACTGTACAAGAGTTTCAGAAGCTACAGTCAAGATAGATATGCAAGTCTGAGCTGTCCAATAGGAAAAAAGACGAAATGTCTGACGAATGGATGTCCTCAAGGTTCTGTGTACGGCCCAGTTTTCTGGGATATCATGCTCGAAGAGCTTCTTGTCCGGTTGTTTGAAACTGAAGATGCACTAGGCACTGTTGCATATGCTGATGATCTGCTAATAATGGTAGAAGGAGACAGCAGAAGGGAAATCGAGTAATAACGTTCTCGAAATTGTGAACAGCTGGTGTGGTAAAGCCAAACTAAAGATATCAACGGAAAAAACTACGTACAACATAGTAAAAGGACAACTGAACAGAGATCCACAAGTTCGGATCAATGGTCAGTTGGTACGAAGAACGCAAAGATATCTGGGGATTATAATGGATGAATCTAGGAGGTTTGCTTACTACATCACGGACGTCTGCAACAGAGCATCATCGGCAATGCACAGGATAATGAGCCTAGTGCAAAAAGAAGTAAGAATACCCTTCAGACAAGTGAGAGTCCACTTGAGCGTGGTATTTGCATCGATAACTGGTTACAGTGCAAGCGTGTGGGTACATAGGCTGCAAAACATCAAGAACAAAGAAAAAGTTGATAGAACGCAACGAGGGTTCCTCGTCAGGATGACAGGAGCCTTCAGCACAACTGCAACGCTGGCCCTGACAACACTAGTAAGGGTCATGCCGATGCAGCTTGAATTGAAAAAGAGAGCAGCCATGTACTGGATCAGGTGTGCAGACTACGCAAAAGCACAGGCTGTGATGGGCACAGAAACAAGAACCAAGAAAAAAGCAAACAGGGAAATAGCGAGGCAGTAGCAAGAGATGTGGGACCACTCAGAAAAAGCGAGGAGAGTCCACGAAGTTCTTCCAATACTGGAAGAAATACCGGAATACTTCAATCCGACCCCTGGGTTGGTACATCTAATAACGGGGCATGGGCCCTACCCGAGCTACCTAAACCGATTTAATTTGAAAGAAGATAGTCTGTGTGAATGCGGAGAAGAAGGCACGCCTGAACACGTTGTTCTGGACTGTTTGATGTATAGCGACCAGGACAACCTGAGAAGTGGATTGCAAGGGTTGAACCTCAAACAAATAATCGAAGATGAAGACAAATACAATAAATTAAATAAACTAGCGCAGAAGGTCTCCCAAAACCAACAGGAGATCTTCAATGCTAGGAGATGAACACTAAAACATAAACACCGATTAAAAAATAAAAATAAAAGCAAAACCAGAAATAAACTAAACTAAAAACTTGAGATGAAGAAAGAAGAGACGAGATCACCACCGATCGGGTAGAAAAGTTCTGGAGCAAGGGCCAGAGGCTCGCCGAACTGCCACCCGAAAAAGGAGGTGCACATGTCTGCCAACCTGCAATAGTAGGATTAGCAGGCAATTAATTAATATATAATTGCATGTAGTAGTTAGTAGGAAATGCATGTACCATGTAGCATGTAATGCATGGTAAAGTAGAATAGAATAGTGTAGTGGATGCATGACGTAGTGCAGTAATGCATGTAGTATTAGAGTAGTTAATTACTAACATAGGTTTAGTAGAGGTGTTGGAGGATTGTAAAGACTATATATAACAATATGTAACATAATTATTCCAACACCTAGTAGATTAGGACCTTTTACTAACATAATTATAAAAAAATAAAGAAAAAAAGATAACAAAAGAATTTGAGAATAAAGATACAAAAGTAAGTCGAAATACGATCTGTTTTAAATTTCATAAGATAACAGATTGAAAATTATCAGAGTAAATGAAGAAAAAATGTTCCGGTGATAGTGTGTGATAAAAATTATATAAAATGTACAGTTACTAGCAGTTGTGTTTCTGTTTTCCATTTTCGTATTATATTATTTGCTCTTCGAGTTTCATGATCTTGTTCATCTTGTATTTTCATCAAGATTTTTATGGATAAAAACTCGTTTTGTATATCATTTGCATCAGCGTGTAAATGATGCAGTCACATATTAACAAATTATTCTATCATTTCTTAATAGTTACTGATTTCAAAATGACTAGAAGAATGAGTTGCAAGTTGGCCATTGTTAAACTGCTATATATTAGGGATATGTGAATTGGAAATCGACTGATGTATGTACCTCTACTCATATAAATTAGGTAGGTAATACAACATTACTTTACCCTCGAATTTGCCTAAAATCTAGATAATAATGTAACATTAACATAAAATTTAGAGTAGTGATAGTTATTTGAGTGATGTGAAATCATTCAATCATTCATTTGCTCTATACTTTCCTGACAAAACCATTTCTGCCAGAGGATTAAAAAAGATTGTTGGTTATTTGAACTAATGCAGCTTTAATTATTGGTTTATTGATTAACACAACTCAGTATTTGTCGAAAAACGTTGAAAAATACAAAGCATGAAAAAACGAACTGACACACATAAAAAACCAATGACAGCTATTGTCAAAAATTGTCGTCGCTTCTTCTTCGTTCTCGGAACAGTGACTCGGAAATGCTTGGAATAGAAAGTTCAGGGCCGGCCTATATTGTCGGTTGTCGGTATAAATACTAGCATTACATTATTTTCAACACTCCCACTTATTTTTACCGGCAAGTATGCCCAATTTTTCTCTCAAGTCGGAAAATTGCTTCTCTGCCAGTGCCTTTGTAAGAATGTCAGCCAACTGTTCGGATGATTGAACATATTGAATATCTATATCACCTCGTTCGCGCACTTCGCGTGTAAAATGGTATCGT